CTTGCCCTTGGTCGATGAGTGATTTGAGGGTGGAGATTTTTAGTTTAATCTGTCTCTGCTCGGCTGACTCTGTCCGCTTCATTTTCTTGGTTCGGACTAGCGAGAGCGCGACTATGTCCTTCTTCGTCTGCGCCCATATTTCTGAATGGTGCCCTGGCGCGTTCTCCTGGTCATGCTCGCATTTCTCTAGAATTGCTGCTATGTCGGTATTGTTTTTGGGGTCGTCGTATATCCGCTCGTCTATTCTTGCCAGGTCGTGACCTCTTTCTCCCTTCGACTCGGTGGTGACTATTGACGCCGGCTCGTGGTCTAGGATTTTTGCGTCTCTCTTTCGGGCGAAGAAGTCGTGGACTCCTGGTTCGTGAACAGCTGAGAGGCCGTCGAGTGTCGGGAGGTATATCTGGTCGATGCGGGTCGATGTTGTGCTTTTGGTTCCATCTCGGAGGGTGATGTTATGATGCGAGGTGTAGAAGGGGGCGGGTCCGAGCCATTCTCTCGCGACGTCGACTAGTCCGAAGTGCGTCATCACATCGGCAAGTTCGTTTGCCCCTCTGTTGTCGTATGGCGAGGCGGCGTCTGATCTTACGTCTAGCTGGACATCTGGGACGCAGTTGGCGTCGATTCCGAGGACGGTCTGTTTGGTGAGGAAATGTCTCAGCTCTTTTTTGAAGAATTCGGGGCGTCGGCTCCCGTCGGCGTGGGCGTATACCGAGGCTAGTCGTAGGGGGCGGCCGTCTACCATCGCTGGAACCGAGACGCCCCGTCCGTCACTCATTCGTCGCATGTTTTTTTTCATTCTGTCGACTGTGTCGTGATATGTCTCTCCGGGGTGAGACTCTATTTTGTCTTTTGGGATGAGGATGGCTGTGCCTCCCCTTTGGTGCTGGCTGTTGTTTTGCCCGATTGTGTAGAGGGGGACGGCGAAGAGTTCGAACCCGTAGGTGCTCGCCTTGCGTTTGAAGTCTTCGACTTTTCGGATGCCTGTCTCCTGGAGGAATATGGCGGTGATGGGCCGTGCTTTGTGCTCGTCTCGTATGGCTAGGAGTATCTGCTCCCATCTGGGTAGCCCTCCGATGCTTCCGAGATTTTTGGTGATAAATCTGCTCGGGCCCGGGTTGGGTTCGATTCCTTCCTCTGTCAGGTCGCGCTTCCAGGCCTCGGCGAGAGTGTGAGTCGCGCGAGGGGTGGTCTGCTCGGCGTGTGGATCAGATGTGGCCTCGTTGGCGCCTCTAGTTCCGTCGTCGTGGTCGGCGGTGGCGGAGATGGCGGTTGGTGAGGTGGCGGACCGTCTGCTGTCTGTCTGCGTGCTCGCCTGTAAATGCTCCGCGGGTGCGGCGGTCGGCAAATTGGCTTGGGTTTTGCGCTCTGGGTCCCGGGTCGGGCGGGTACGTCTGCATGGCTCGGCCCGGTTTTTGGTCTCGCGTCGGGAGTTCGTGTTCGAGAGATTTTCAAGGCAGGGGTCCATGAACGATTTCTTTTTCGCACGATGTTTTCTTTTTTCCCGAGACGGTCGCTCTTTACACAAACCTGGCTCGTGGCCTTCAGACGGAGGAGGGACTAGGGGCTCACCGAGTGGTCTCTTTGGATCGTGGGAGCTCGTGCCGCTGTGCTTGCGCGTTGCTTGGGAGGCTTGCGGTCCTGGTGAGGTCACAGGTTGTTGCCGGTTGGGGGTCCTTGTTGTGCACCCTGCCGGGGCTCGTGCCTGAGATGCATTATTGGGCGGGGTTGGCCTTTGGGGCTTTTGGGTCGGGCTTTGGAGGTGGGCGTGGAGGGCGGAGGTGGGCGTGGACGGCGGAGGTGGGCGTGGACGGCGGAGGTGGGCGTGGAGGGCGGAGGTGGGCGTGGAGGGCGGAGGTGGGCGTGGAGGGCGGAGGTGGGCGTGGAGGGCGGAGGTGGGCGTGGAGGGCGGAGGTGGGCGTGGAGGGCGGAGGTGGGCGCTTTCGGAGCTCTCGGCTGCGTCCAATACGCGAGCCGGTAGTGGGTTGCAGGCTGGCAGGCGGGCAGGCGGCCGGGCAGGCAGGCAAGCTGGGAGGCAGGCAGGCAGGCAAGCTGGCAGGCAGGCAGGCAGGCAGCAGGCAGGCAGGCAGGCAGGCAGGCAGGCATACAGGCGGGCACGCACGCACGCAGGCAGGCAAGCAGGCAGGCAGGCAGGCAGTGGGGATGGGTTGGGGTCTGCGTGCGTCTGGTTTGAGGGCAGGTTTGTGTGCTGGGCTGCGCTGCCGCTCCGCAGGGAGGCGGGGACGCGCGCGCTTGGGCGGTGGGCGCAGAGGCGCATAAGGGGCGGGAGTGGGCGGGTGTTCTGGGGCCGGGCGGCGGTCGGACTGGCGGGGGCAAGTGGTGTTGAGCTGAGTGGTGGTGCTGAGCTGAGTTGTGCGGGTTTGCTGCGGGAAGGTCGGTGGCTGGGCGGGCGGGAAGCGAGGCGTGGTGGCTCCCTGTGTTCTCTTTGTGGGGGGGAGAGCGGTCGCGTGGAGGTTTTCATCGTGAAGTTTTGTGTGGCTGGAGTGTGTAGGTTTGGGAATGTGTCGGTCTGGTCTGGTGGGTCTGCGCGGCGCGCACTCTCGGGTCCAGGTGGGCGCTCAGTGCTGCACGCCTGGTTGGTTGCGGCCATTGGCGGCGGCGTGGCGCCGAGCGACTTCCCTCCGATGGGCGGGAGCGGCCGCGGGGCGGCGGCGGGCGCTGCGGGGGCGGTTTCCAGCATCGCGCGCGAGCCCCAACGACTAAGGACTAACAAAAACCAAACAAGGCAAGGAAGCTCCTCTACACGCACGAGAGACACGTCATATCATAAGTGACATATTCATATCTCGCATAACAACACCCTCCCTCGAGCACCCTCCATGACAAACGTGTCTAAACACAAACACCGATAACCGATAACCGTACAAGCACATGTCTCTTTCATGTGCTTGTTGGTCCTTCCACCCTTTGGTCGTTGTGTGTGTGTGTGTGTGTGTGTGTGTGTGTGTGTGTGTGTGTGTGTGTGTGTGTGTGTGTGTGTGTGTGTGTGTGTGTGTGTGTGTGTGTGTGTGTGTGTGTGTGTGTGTGTGTGTGTAGGAGGTCTCGTTCTTTCGATCCGCGTTTCGCCGGAAGACCCGCACAGCGCACGTAAAGACACGACCGCCCCCGCGCGCGTGTGTGTGTGTACCTTCCTCCACCCAGCCTCTTTGGCGGCGCGGAAGAAAAAGCTGTCATGTGCTCGCTAGCATATTGCCATTGTGGCCATTAAGCCTGTGCGCGCGCATATATGAGAAATGTCACATGTGTGCCTCCACGGGTCCGCGCCTGAGTGGAGTCTATTTACATCAGAGAGTCTGAAGAGAGCCGAGAAGCTGCTAGTCGAGTCTCACCCGCGTTCGGCGAATCGACGGAGTACGAGCGTCCCAGCGGTCTGCGGATAACGTTCACCGTCACCACGCTCCGGCTCATCCCGCACAGAACTCTTGAATCTCGTAGTTGTACCTGTACTGCCTCCCATCTCCGGACCGGCTGAGGCGGAAGCTCTTGATGCACGCGTTGGGCGGACACGCCACAACGTGACGATCCAGGAAGATGGCGTTCCCCTTTCCGTCGTCGTTCATCTTGGTCTCCAGCGTTCGCGTGCTGCCGAGGCTTACCTTGGTGGCGAGCTTCTCCCTCAGCCTGCTAGCTGTCGCCTCAAGCTGAGCGTCCGTCACCTTGTCCTGCAGCGCCGCCGCGAGCCTCTCCTCAAGCTGCGCCTGCGACACCTTCTCCTCCAACGCCGCCGCGGACGCCTTGGTCGATAGCGTCTCGTTGAGTTGAGCGAGCGACGTCGCGATCCCATTCAGTTGCTCCGCCAGGGTGCCGCTGTTCGCCTTGGTTGCCACGGTCGCGGCGAGGCACTCCACCCGCTCGGCCGCCGCGGCATTCTGCTGGATCAGCACCTCGTTCTGCTGCTTGAGCTCCGCAGTTTCTGCCTTGAGCGTGCTCTGCCCAGCGGTCACACTGAGCTGCTCCAGCAGCGCGGCCGCGGCGGCATTCTCTCGCCTCAGCACTGCGTTCTCAGCCTCGAGCGCGCCCTGGCGAGCCTCGAGGGCGTCGAGCCGTTGCAGGAGCTTGGTGAATGCGCTGATGAGCAGGCCATCGTCGCCCATAACTGGACACCCACGCCCAAGGCAGTCAGTGCCACCGTGTGCCACCCTGTATCCGGGCACGCCGCGCCGAGTGCGTACGTGAAATCGATTCGGGACGTTTGCGCGGAAAGAGTTTCGTTTTTCTCTTTCTCACAGCCTGCCGAAGTGAGTGAGTCTTAGGTATGTTGTTGGCAAATCAGTGAGTGAGTGAAGTGAGTGAGTGGTCGAGTGGTCGAGCGGTCCGTCCACCTGACGGCCACGCTCCTTGCACCCCACGACCGCCGTCAACGCCTTGTCCAGGGTGTTTCCAAACCCGTAGAGGTGGCCCACCGACGCCACATTGCCGCCATTGACGGAGCCCCTCCCCGGCCGGTGGTCCCCGCCGTCGTCGACTTGATGAGCGGGTTCCAGCACTTGACCTAATGCACGTCCCGCATCGTGGCAAAGTCGCCGCCGAGCTCGCAGATGTCGGTCACGGACGTGTCGTTGAGGTGCCGCGTCACCACCTCGCTCCTCGGGCTTTTCCTTGTTTGTCCCCGAGCGAGCATGATGCTGCCAACCGAGCGTGCCCGGATGGCATTCTGAGCGGCCCTTAGCACACCCTGTTGTGCTTGGAGGTGCGGTCGCCCTTGTTGGAGTTGGCGAGGGAGTCGCCCTTGTACTCTCCCACCGTGACGTGCACGCCCGCGGCGGCCTGCTCGCCGAGAGTGGGCGCAATCACCGACAAGTTCAAGTAGAGCCCGTGCCTGCGCTGTACCGCCGTCAGGAACATCGCAGCTCTGCGGACGGGCCCCTCCACCCTTCACGTACGGATCATGTAGTCCCCACACTCGCTGTCGTGGGATCGCTTGTCATCTGACAGGCGTACGCTTTCTCTCTTCTCAGAGCCTCCGCGCCGGGAGGGCAAAGCCAGCCCAGCCTAGCTGGCCCGCCGCGAGGGTGGAGGAAGCACCTCCGCCACCGCCCGATGGGAGAGCGCGGCGTCGGCTTCGACCGCAACCAGGAGGCGACGTGCTTCGTGGGCGACCTCGACAGCCAGGTCGACGAGTCGCTCCTCTGGGAGCTGTGCGTGCAGTGCGGGCCGGTGGTCGATGTGCACATCCCGAAGGACAAGCTGACGCAGCAGCACATGGGGTTCGGCTTCGTCGAGTTCAAGGGGCAGGCGGACGCGGAGTACGCCATCAAGGTGCTGAACATGATCAAGCTCTTTGGCAAGCCGATCCGGCTGAACCCCGCCTCAAAGGACACCGCCGAGACGGCGGACGTCGGCGCAAACATATTTGTGGGGAACCTGGACGCGGAGGTGGACGAGAAGCTGCTGTACGACACCTTCTCCGCCTTCGGCCTGATCGTCACCACCCCCAAGATCATGCGCGACCCCGAGACGGGCAACTCGCGCGGCTTTGGCTTCGTCTCGTTTGACTCGTTCGAGGCGCGCGCGTCGCCCCGCCGCCGCGCTGCCGCCGCCGCCCGGCCCGCCGTCACTGCCGCCACCGAGCGTGCCGCCGCCAGCCCAGTCCAGCCGCGCCACCGCCAACGTCCTCACCCTCCCGCCGCCGTCGCCGCCACCATCGCCGCCGCCATCCCCGCCGCCGCCATCCCCGCCGCCGCCCCCCCCGCCTCCGCCGCCGTCACCGCCGCCCACGCTCGCCCCCCCCCACCCCCCCTCCACCCCCCCCTCGCTCCAACCCCTCTACCCAGGCGTCCGACGCCGCCATCGAGGCGATGAATGGACAGTTCCTGTGCAACCGGCCAATCTCGTGCACATATGCTATCAAGAAGGACTCGAAGGGTGAGCCGCCCCCTCCACCCCCCCCCTCCACCCTTCCCTCGCCCTCCCCGT